ATGTCTGATAAAGGCAAATAAATTCAGCGCTTCCACTATCATGCTTGTGGGCTGATTTGATAGTTGTCGGCGCCACTAGCTTGATTTTAGTGGTACATTGTTTTGAGGCAGTGGACATTAGTCAGGACAGGTGGCAGTGAAATATCACAGGAGAGCAAGCTCAGTGGTAGAGCGTTCACCTTGTGTGGAAGGTCTTGGGTTCGATTCCCAAGCTCTCCCTTTTCCAAAGTTACCAGCTACTTAAATAACTACCTTCTTGTCCTACATTTGCCCTCAAACAGTATCAAATTTTAAAATATATTTGTATCATATAGAGTATTGTTTTTCATTTATACTTGTATATTAGTACAGAAAACATTTTGTCCATTTTATGATCATTTCCTCTCAAGGTGCCCATGGTGTACAGGATCTGTAAGTATGTTGTACTTTGAACATGTATTGCATGCATGGAGGTTTCCACTCTGAAAAGCATCATTATTTATTTGAAAGTGGTTAGGATATGCTAACTTAGTCTACTAGGTAAAGGACAATTGATAGTTGAACCTTTCTTGATATGTTTACTTGAGTATAGCAGATTATATTTTCCCTGTGTGATTTTTCCCTGTCTGATTTTATGAAATTATTCTAGTACTAGTAGTTATCCGGTATTGAATATAAGGCAGAATAAATGCAAAGAAGAAAATCATAAGGAAAGCAAGTTCATTGTTGTCATTTACCCATTATGAAAGGTCTAGGGTGAGGGTCTAGTTTTTGATCCCTAATTGTACACATGTACAAACATTGATCTCTTGTTGTTACTGTCTAAACCTCTTCCCCTGCCCTAATTAATGCTTCCTGTTACAAATAAATTGCTTTAATGTCTGTCACAACTAGTATAGAAATCTCATGTTTTTATTTTAGTTGGTTGGGGAGATGAAAACTAAAAGCAAGACCGAAGAAGATACTGTGACATTACAACCAAGATCATGCACAGAAGTATTTGCACTGAAAGCAGAGACCTTAAAAAAATTATGTTTGAAGCACCAAATTGCAGTGCACTACCCAAAAAAGGCAAGGTGCATTTTTTTGTGTGACATATTGGGACTGTCAACTACAGGGTTCAAAACAAAGGACTCATTACTTCACCCAGGAGTAAAATTATCTGACGAACAATTCCAAGAATTTCATCAAAATGTCAGTCCCCAAAAGCTCTGTACACGAAATGACTTTTCAACGAATTTATTAAACATCCCAGATATAGATGTGTCAGACATAAAAAGATATCTTTTAAATACAGAAGTCATCACAGCAGATTGTGCAAGAACCTACAAACTCTCTCGCCCGTATCAGTTAAAAGATTCTGTGCATTCTGTTCGTTATAGCCAATGTTCAGATTTGAAATTTTTTAGTATAATAAGGGCCTATTGCAATGCCTCTCAATCAACAAATTCTGAGGATGTAAAGGTGGTTTTTGTTGTTATAAACAAAATCAATGCCATTCCATGTGGTGGGTTTTGTACCTGTTCTGTAGGCTATTCCTTGACATGTGGCCATATAGGGGCAACACTATTTAGGGTTGCAGACCTAGTTGCAAGTGGAGTCAAGGAGGACATAACAGCTAGCACCTCCTTGCTGTGCGAGTGGCTGGAGCCTAAAGGGTCCTCTGCAAGTCCATCACTGCTGTCTCATCTTCCTATAAAAAAGAATGTGAGCAGCATGCAGAGGACCCCTGACGACTATGGACAGGTCATACGACAGCAAAAACCACCTTCAAAAGATGACATTTTAAAGTTGAGGGCGAGCCTTTTTAATGCCACACATCACATAGGACAATATTGTCCTGCAGTACATCTTTTGGGAGCAAATCTCCATAATGCAAATAAAATTCCAGATTCTATTCTCTTTGATACACACCTAGAAAATGACAATTCAATTTTATTTGACAATGAAGTTACTGTCACTGCAGTACCATTACCAATTTTTGACCATCCTCATAATTGTGATTATGATGCAGATGCATGCATTAACGATCAAGTTGAAAATTTTGTAAAATCAATAAAATTTAGTGAAAATGAAATTCATCAGATTGAGGAATCCACAAGAGGCCAGAGAGAGAACCCTGAGTGGCACCAGCAAAGAAGGGGTGCAGTTACAGCCTCAAGGATGGGGTCCATTCTTCGCACATTTGAAAAGCAGAAACCCCCATGCAAATCGGTCATTACTGCCATCATGGGGAGAGAATGCTCTGAAGACAATATCCCTTATACTACAGTACCATCACTTAAGTGGGGGATTAGTAATGAAAAGAAGGCAAGAGATCAGTACCTTAGACAACAGAAGAAGCAACACACAAACTTGTCAATTAATGAGAAAGGCCTAGTTGTTGCTGAAGACTATCCATATATAAGAGGCAGTCCAGATGGAATAATAACATGTAGCTGCCATTCTGAGAGAGTGTTAGAAATTAAGTGTCCATATTCATGCAGGAATATGATGGTGAAAGATGCCATAAAATGTGGTAAGATAAGGTATCTGGATGGCAATTTTATGCTAAAACCATTCTCAACAGAGGGCTATTATGAACAAGTTCAGGCATTGATGTATATTCTAAAATTGAATAAATGTGAATTTGTAATTTGGACAAATGTTGACATGATGGTGATTGAGGTTGGGTATAATGCTGAATTTTGCCAAAAAAAATTATTACCTGGTTGTGTAAGCTTTTTTAAGCAATATATAGTGCCGAATATTTTAAGCTGGAACAATAAGAACAAAATGCCCAAGATGTGTTAGGGAATGAAAATGATTACTGAATTGGTCAAAACCAATATTGGGAAATGATTCCCAGTGTAATTATGTGATGTATATAGAACATTACAAAATATGTGCACATATTGGTGTAGCACTTTCATATTGAGAATGGTTGATTATATAATTATATTAAATCATTATACCCAACCTCAATCACCATCATGTCAACATATACATAAATGCCTAAACTTGTTCATAATGTATTTACAAAAAGTTTGGTAACATGCATTTATATGAAGATTTGAGGAGTAATTGCAATTTCCTCCTTAATGAGTTTATTTAAGGACTTGAACAGTTCATGATAAAATACAGTGTTTTACAAAGTCAATTACAATAACAGTTTAAATGATGTAAAAATACAAATGTTGAGTACACAAACATGAAAATTTTATTCTATTCCAATACTATATGTATGTACTCAAATGACTAATTGGGATGTACAATAAATTACTGGCTGAAAATGGCATTTCTTATCAATGTAGTAACATACCAATCCCATACCTTTATTATACAATCTTATAATATGTTCATATTTCAAAAATATTAAAATTACTTGTTGAGATGTAAGTCTGCATTACATCTCTGACAGGAAATGATATTACAGTAGTCTGCAGAATTCTCCTTTGATGAATATATCACGGGACACTTTGGTCTGATTTACTTCTCCAACAGGTAACACAACAGCAGTAATATGTTTTCCAGAGAACAACTACAAATGACTGATCTTTACGTTTATTTCTCTGGTTGAGAGATCTGGAGTCTCCTAAGACAGCAGGGACAATCCAGCTATCGGTTTGACTGACCAAACTCACTCCGAGCTCTGATCCCCAATCTCTCTCTGTCTCTAATACAAAGTTCTTCTCCTTATATACTGATACACACAAAATACATTACAGTGATTCCTAAAACAAGTCAGAGATATTGAAGCCAAGTAACAGAATAAAGACATATTACTAGAGACCTTCAACATAATTTAAGTCAGACTGCTTTAAACTCCAACTTGGGGTTGAAGCCATAAATAAAGTTATTCAATCCTTTTTAAACTGAAAATACCCTTTTAAACTTGGTTAGTTTTTTTCAATGAATAACATACATTAACAGATTCATATAATGTCATTATAAAAGAGGCATCTGAATGATCTTTACCAAATGTTGATTTAATTTGATTTAAATGTGGAAGTTCCTAAAATGAAGTTTGGCCGTGAAATCACCACTATGACAAATATAAATACAGTTTCAACCTGACCACATACATATTTGAATAAAACTGACTGTAATCAAACTTGCCTTGCCTGGATTATTCTGCATTTTAAGCTGAAAGTGGGTTTTCTTGGAGATTTACAAATACAAAATTTTACTGAACTTTGGTGTGCTCTTAGTCTGGACTGTAATGCTGAATAACTGGACTTGATTTCCCATGCAAGAATTCATTATTGAAAAAGACAATTAATCACAAAAAATGCTAACTAAAAATAAATAAACTAAATAAGAATGGAATTATTTATTTCTTTATAACTGGTAACTGAAAGTTTGTCAGGTAAGCACAAACAACAAAAATTTGCTCAAATAGGTCAAACATATTTAACTTAACAATTTGTTCTAATAAGTGAAATGTCTTAATTCTTTGTATGATCCTTTCTACGTGAATTCTTGCATGGGAAATTTTGTTTGATCTATTTGATTCGGCATTTGTGAATTGCACTCTTTCTCTTCCCTTAAAATCAGGCATTACGATCTTTACACCTTGAAATTCCAATTCATCAGATACAGTGAAACCTCTGTCAGACATCACCAAATCCCCCCTCTTGAGTCCATGCAGGAGTGGCTCAGAGTTCAGGGTAATATGCTTGTCTGAAGCTCTGCCACCCCATGCACTGGACACAAAGTTCACGGCAAGATTTGGTGATATGCCAACAAGAAATTTCACTGTATCGTGATGTTTATAATTTGAAAATGTGCTCTTTCTTGAATCAAGTGATGATGATTTTTGTAATAAAAGTTCTGTGCAGTCTAAAATAATTTTTAAATTGTCAAATGATTGAAAGCAATTAGGTTGTTCTTCTGTTGAATATTTCATTTCAAATAAGGTTTTAAGTTCATTGCTCAGAAAATTAATCCATGTTGTAAAGATTTTCGAAAAATGACCTGTGCTTATATCAAAAGTTTGAGCAATGTCTTCATTAAATTTTCCTGTCTTTAATTTAACTAAAACCATAAAAAATTCTTCTTCAAATGTAAATTTTCTAGTTGGCCCTTTTTTAGACGTCATCCCTGTTGTGTTTGTGGCCTCTCCATTCCAGTAACATAAATTATTTGAATCTGTTCTTGTTTTTAAGTAATCGCATAATGAAGAAAAAACTAAAAAATTTGGCAAATTAGTCCAAAACTGAAATTTTCTGTCATCATCTTTTATATTTTCCAAACGAAGAAATTTTCCTTTTAAATCAGAAATTTGCTCTTTCAATTCAGTTACCTCTTTTTCCAATTGTTGAATTTTTGTTAAATTTTGTTGTTTATTTGTTGTATAATAATCATGATCTCCTGCTTCATTCAGACAATCTAAAAGTCTGGCAACTTTTGGCCTGCCAGCAGCTTGCCTGCCAGTTGATGATCTTTTCCTGAAAATATGTTTTGGCTTTTGGTTGTAGCTCCTATTTGCAGATAAAGAGTTATTTGTTGTGCGGGGCTTTGAGGAACTATTGGGAAAAATAGTTGGTGAGTAGCTTGGATGAGTTGGGTCATCATTTTTTCTACCTGTAAATGAGTAAATATAATTATATATATCAACCAAAGTAACTGAGCGTATACTGCAATTGCAAAATCTGATTGCAGTTATTGTATAAACAATATTGTAATTTACTATTGTAATTTTAGTTATATGATTATATAATGTATACTGTTAGGTCATAGTCATTTTAAAAAATGTACTTGAACCGCAATAAATAATAATAATAATAATAAAATTAATTAATTGATCATCTTCCCTATCTCATGCCTAGATTGATCCATAAAAAAATTAATTAATTGATCATCTTCCCTATCTCATGCCTAGATTGATCCATCTGGATCAGTATAACTCCCTGGGGAATCTCATTAAATTGCTATCAAATAAATTGCTTTAATGTCTGTCACACCTAGTATAGCTGATAGAGGATAATTTTCTTTACCCCCTAGTTGATTTGGTATATTGTGTGACAGACATTTAAGCTGATTATATATACCTCCTGCAAAATGCACAGAACATATCCTTGTGGATGTAGTAGGTGTAAAATCCTTCTCAACAGGTATGTGGCACAGCCAGTTGTGTTTGCGGCTCACATCTTTGGGGAATTGGTAAAAGCTAATTGCTTGCCCCTCCCGATTACATTTCCCACGGGAGTTTGTGCATCCAGGCACGCAGCAGTAGTCGCCCACATATGCCTTTTTCATTATTCTGAATGACTTTATTCCCTGTAGAAAATTATGGCAAAATGATGGTACAAAATAAAGTAGACTTTAGGGCAAGATGAGCACATTTAGTATTATAAATATATTAAGAATTAAAGATATTAAACCAAGATATGCTAATATATAATGGATAAATTTTTTGCCATTTGCTTTGTAGCTCAGCAATGTATGCTATTTGAAAGAAGATACAATTAAATATTGTACGCAATTTAAAATAACTGTTTGAGAGCATGAATATGCAGTATTGGACAGGAATGCATGCAGTTACTGGTAGGCTATTGGTAT